CAGTAACATTGCGAATTTGTATTATCGAGGGCGAAAATGACGACATAGGTGAAAACGACGGCTGCGGAAATGATAAAAATTAGGGTGACTGCTATAATTGAGATATGTTTTTTTAAGCGGATAGGTGCAAATGTCTCTGCAGAATTTTTGCGGTAAAAAAGGCCGCGTTTGAGTCTGAGATTGCAAAAAAGTGAAATGAACTGAATTGAGCACAGTAAGATGTTGTTAGTTGCAGCAAGATGGAGCATGTTACTTGTCCACCGATACAATTCTCTGGAGATCGTGTTGGGCGGTTTGGGAGGTGAGAAGTGAGGGAAGTAGCTGCTGCTGCTGGTGCAGTACTTACAAAAAACAGTGCAAGTGAGTGATGATATTGTAACTTGATATGTATATACCCTTCAATAAGCGCAAAAGATTGCCTGCTGCATCTGCCGGCAATGAACCCGTAATTGCTCCCGAACCACCGTTATGTTGCATCGCTGGTACCACCGATGTACCGGCACCACCACCCAGTGCACCAGAGATACCCGTAGACGTTGCAACCGTACCTGCTGCACCACCTGTTGCCGCCGCCGCCGTCGCTGCCGCTGCCATCACTCCGGAACCGGATACTGCTGGACCGTTACGCATCGATTCTGGACTGTGAATCACTGGATCGTCCGGTGTGCTCATCTGCTGCTGAAATTAGCTGAGAGTTTGATGCAAAGCAATTGCTAGCTCTTTCTCTTCTAGTACTTAGCATAAGCAAGAGGAAGGAAGGAGGAGGCAAGCAGTAGAACCTTCGATTTCTGGGATTTTCAGGGTGTCCTTTTGACGAAGGTATTTCTTTGGATTACAGAAAATTTCTTTTAGTTTTTTAGTTCATAATTTTCCTCATGCCCCGTGAGGAGGATAGGCGACAAGGAGAAGAAAGAGTTCTCTACAGATATTTTATTATGGGTGCCTGATACTTTACTTTGCTGTATAAGATACCTCCTAATTTCTCAGTGTACAGAAATTAGGTGCTTCCAGATGGCAAAGTACCTAAACGTGGCCTGGGAGTGATAATACTTGAAGAGGAGGTGGTCGTCACGACCGATCCAATTCGTTGAATATCCAAGTGGCTCAAGCCCTGCCAGAATGTTTCTATGGGGAGACCACTGAGCCAGTTATTCCAGTAGGAAGCAAAATGAACGTTAGAATCGCCAGAGGCTGACCATCAGACGATGCAGTAGTAGTGGTCAGAAGGACCACGAAATGAAGAAAGAAAATGGCATGGTCGCTAGCTTCACCACTGGAAAGCGTACTGAATATGAAAACTTACAGTCACCAGTGGTGAACTAGTAGCCTTTCTAAACAACGAGTATTCAAGTAATTACAGAAAACTATACCGTTGCAGAGTGTCGTATGCGAAAAAAAGATTATTATTTCTAGGGTCATGAGCAATCTTTCGATGAGCAGAAATAGCAGTTCTAGTAGAAAATTCACATATGTAAATTTTTGATAATCTAAACCCAGGCTGGGACGCACCAGGCTCTCCGATGCGATCATGCGTTTTTGCACTAATCTCGCAGATCGCTATTAGCAGGAATGATCCCTACGCTGTAGCCTAAAACTTGGATCATATTGGCCGTGCTTTGGCCCCTTCCGGCATGCAGAAGGAAGGGCGTCAGTTGAAATGAAGGTGGTGCATTATAGAGCCGCACGGACATCCAAGTACATGATTACCGGCTTTTTGCATGAAGTCCGGTCGTTTTTCGGTAAATGCTCGCTTTATGAAAAAATGACAAATGTAAATTTCCAGTTCACTAAAAATTGGAAGTACTGCTCGAACAGTCCTTTGCCAAAAAATCCATGTTCATTTGCATATATGATTGCGGTTCAGGTCCGAGTTGCGAACGATTTTCAGATTACGAAACTGCTTGAGGCTGTGGTTGGAGGGTTCTACAGCTGAGTTTAAAATTTTTAGCTCGTACGTGCATAGGGAATATCCCTGCAAAGTTTTAGCTTTCTACCTTACCTGGTTTGCGAAATCGTTTCTCGTCAACATATTTCTTTGGGGGTCGCGTACGCGGGGCCTAAACGCGTATGGGGAAAGATCTTAAAACGGGAGGATGACATACGGGGTAGGAACATACATCCAAAGTTTCAGCCTCCCAGCTTTTCTGGTTGCTGAGATGAAAGTGGGTGACAAAATGCACTCGCTCTCCGCACAGACACACACACAGGCAGCCTCTTGACAATATGCGTTTTTGCTGGCTGTAGCAGCGCTGTAGCGAACAGCCAGTCGTTTTTTATGCGTTTTTGCTGTACATCGCTGCTATA